TCACCAGCGTTGGTGAGTGGTACCGTCAAGTGCTTGGCCACGCTTTGGTTCATTAGGAAATATGTGCAAGAGCCCAAATAACCAGCGTCCGTCAGGTTTACAAATACGGCACAGGAGAAAGGTTCTATGGGATACCAGTCTCCGAGGAAGCGATGCCTTGTTCACCTCACGCAGAAGGTGTGCTCCTAAGGTTACACGTCTACAGCCGCCCTTTTACACCCTGCTTGTTTACCAGGAAAAGGTACCAGATACGGCATTTGAAACGAGATTCAACCAATTAGCTTCTATAGCGTTTTCTGATCCCATGAGGTACTGTTCCCTTTGTTCTGTACCCACCATTCATTCCGGCCCATAATGCATCCAACACCCTTATCTTTGATCTGGGTAGATGCCTCGCAAGTACTAAGGGGCTTGGAGACACCTGGATAAACAGGCTTGGGAGGGTAACTAGCGTTCTGTGGTTATAGGGAACCAATTATATGTTCTGGTTTTCCTATCTACTTAAGCCAAAGCTTATGTCAGCTGATGCAAAGTGTTATGGGATACTTAGCATAAGTGAACAGGTTTTACAACAGAGGTACAGGCTTTATATAACTATATAATTGCTATATTAATACTTAATGTGTGTACTTAATACCTACGTAAGCTAGCCAGCGGACATTAGTCAGCACCAGATGCAAAGCAGATGTTGTTGATCTTAGGCCTTGAAAATGCAAAAAGCCGCTCCCCTCCGTTCCCACGGGGATGGTGGCCAGTGGCGAAAGTGGCATCAGTTGTGAGGGGGCGGCGGGGAGCGGCACATGCCCATCCGTGGAGACTTGAGGCATTTGTGGGTTTGTTTCCCCTTCTTTCCCCTCCGCCTTTGTGCAAAACGAAAGCCCCGCAAGAAAACGCCGTGCCTCGGTGAATGCCACGGGGCAGCCGACCCAACGCACCGTCCATGGACTGTACCGGCTGACCCAGTGCACCGCAGCCATGCCCGAGCCAACCCGGAGCTCTCTGATGGTGTCTAGAGTCGGGAAAGAGGGTTTTCTCTTTGTTATTTGTCACGTGTATTGCGGTAACGCCCAGGAGCCCCGCCATGGACCTGGACCCCTTGTGTTCGGTGCTGTATAGACACCCAACTAACGTGTGTTAGCTAACCCAGACCTAACCACTCTCTCTTCCATAGTGTGGACGCAGATTATCTATCGCCTTTCACCTCCATTTCACAGGTTAAGGTCAACAATGGGCGGGGAGGGGAGGGAAGCAACCATGTTACTAACCCCAGTCTGACCTGGGCCTCTTTTCCCACTGTAGCGTTGTGGGGAACAGGGAGGAGAGCTCCAAACCCCCACAACACCAGGAGCTAGCGATGTTGGGGCTATGGCAGGAGGCCATTTCGGGGGAGAGCTGGGCAGGGATAAGGGGAGGGAGGGGGCTGGCAGTTGAAAACTCACCAGCTGAGCCCCTGGAACGCACACACACAGTCACCGGGTTCCCTTTGAGCGACGGCGCTTCTTCCAGTCGGGGCCGTAGCCTGGGCTAGCAGCCATCACCTGTTGCCTGGTGGAGACTCAGCGGTAGCCGTTTGCATATAGCTGGGCGCTCTCCCAGCTGATTGATCTCTGGTGCGGACCAGGCCCAGGAGCCCGGGGAGGGACTTGGTGCTGCTACGAGATGCAACATTGCATGGTGACTTGCCTGCCTCGCTGGGCTCTTACCCCGGTGCAAATCAGGAGTAACTTCGCTGGGAGGAAATAATTGCCATGGCGTGAAACGGGAGGGCGAGAGGTCAGACTCCGTCCCGCCCCCCCGCTTTGAAATCAGAGGCCTGGGTCTCTGCTTATGCTGGTTTTAGATCAGCATGTCCCCACGGGAGAGGTGAATCAAGATCTGTCTGCACGGAGTACAGGCCTGGTCCTGGATCACTATGTGGATGCTCTCAGGGGATCCACAGGCTGTTCTGGGCTTCCCCTTCACTTGGCAGGCCGGCGGGTTAGTCCCCCAATCACGCCCCAGCACGTTTGGCTACGTCCGGACAACGGTATCTCCATTTCCCCAGCGTATCGTCTGCCAGCCGCCAGGGCGTGTCTGTGACCAGAACCCCGCCCCGCACTTCGGGGGGACAAAGCCGATCTCGGCTCTGCCCCGGGTGCAGCTGTCAGGCCCTTCAGCGAGGGTAACGCGTCCAGCCACCAGCCGCTCGCCAGGAGCATGGAATGTGGCGGATCATTACTCACAGGTGGCCCCTGCCCCTTTCGCTCCCTGCCCGGCACCCGCCAGCAGCCCGGGCTGGTATTTCAATGGGCCTAGTTTGTGGGAAGGGACCCACCCTCTCCCCCACCCCAGGGCTTTGGGGGGATCATGCCATCACTGCTGCAGTGCTGGAGAAGGGATAGATTGGTTCCTAGGGGGATTTCAAAGCGGACCTTGGGCTTTCCTTCTGGGTCTGGGTCCAGGCCCACCTCCTCCCTCCCCACAGCGGCGCTGGGTCATGCTGGGGGGGTGAGTGCTAGTCGCCTCCCTCCCAGGAGGAGGGCACAAGGCCTTGCCCAGCACTCCAGGCTGTGAAGGGCCGGGAACTCTAAGTGTACAAGAGGCAAGCTGAAAATTCCTGGTCTCCTGGCTCCCAGCCCGTTCACCTTCCCTAGGCCAGAGGGCATTCTGCGAGGGAAGGCTCTGACTTGCCAAAAGCTGCAGGCCAGGGAGGCTCAGCTGTGCAGCGGTTGGACCGGATCGTGCCACGTGGGGAGGGGGCGGCATCGGATCAGAACAAATCTGCTCAGGATTCTGGAAGCAGCCCAATAAGGGGCCATGCTCAGGGGCTCAAAGGTATTGCCGTGCCCCGCCCCGGGCAGCACGGTCTGGGCTGCAGCACCGGGGTTTGTCAGAGGGGGTCCGGGGGGGGCACAGACTGCAGCTCTTTGACGAGAGGGCTCGGGGTACTGCCTAGCCCGGCTGCATTCCCCCTCCGCAGCTCTCTCTGTGTTCTTGGCTGCCGCGCAGCCTGGGCCGTATCCTGAACTCCTGCCAGACTAAACCTTGCATAAGCATTTGGGAAGTTTAGGTTGGCCAGAACCAGAGGGGGGCTGCTGGGAACCAGGGCTGGGAATGCTACCCACAGCCTGAAACTGGAGCTCTCGCCTTCAGCCGGCGAGTGCCCTGGGTCTGCGGCAGGCTCTGTGCTCTGGCTGGAGGGAGCGGGGGGGGCCTGTCCAGCTGTCGCGAATGCCGGGGCTGAGCCAGAATCTGGGGGCTGCACACAAAGCCCGGCGGGAAAGGTGTGGCAGCATCCACATCCTGCCAGCAGGGACAGAGCTGGCTCCCTCAAAGGGGGCTGGGTGCCCCTTGCACTGGGCAGGGCAGCAGGGGTACCCTCCCTGTGAGCTGGGGAGCGCCAGGGCTTCACTGGCTCCCGCTGGTCTCGATTTGGGAGCTAAAGTGCAACGGACTCCAGCAGCACCTACCGGGAGCCGCCGAGAGCCCCGCGGCGTCTCCGGGCATCTCAGGAAACCGCTGCCCGTACAGGCTTCCTGAGAGGTGGAGCAGCACAACCCCTGACCCCCGTCCACGCAGAAGCTTTGGCTGCCGGGTCGTCCCCTGTGCACCCCCCAGGAACCAGAGCATCAAGCGCGTGAGGGGCTCCAAAACCAGGGGCTGCTGCCGGTGGCAGCCTTTGGCAGGGCCCAGCGCCACCGTTCCCGTCTCGCCCGGGCCCTGGCGCACGATGCTGGACGTCTCGGAGAGCCGGGGGGCTGGAGGGCGCAGGCACCAGGGGCTTGAGAAACACCAGGCAACTGGAGGGCTCAACAAACCCCAACAGCCAGAGGACTAAACACCCTGCAAAGCACCAGGCCCGAGGCAGACGCTCCGTGCGGAACAGACGGGCGGTTCCACTGCTCCAGCCACGCCGCAGGAGAAGGGGAGATGCTGGCACTGCCCAGGCTCACGGCTCCTCCTTGCACAGTCCCAGGGACCGGGTGGAGACAAACATTCGCAGGGGGCCAGCCTGCTTTGGGCCGTGCCCGGGCGGACAGAGCCTGGTGATAAAGGAGCGGAAAGGCTGCAGCGGGATGGGGATAACTGCCGAGCAAGGCACCGGGCAGAGCAACGCACGGGAAGCAGAGACCGGGCTCAGGCTGCCAGGTGTCTGGTTTTCAGCCAGAACCCCCCGGTCGAAAAGGGAGCCTCCCCAGCCAGCCGAGCTGGGGGAGGTTCGTGGGGACACACGGTGGCAGCAGAAATTCCCTTGTATTTCTCCACTGGCTTTCGAACAACCCTGCGGCAGGATGCCAGGCTCTGCAGAGAGCTGGAGGGAGCCGGGCGCGGCCTCCTCCGGAAAGGCTGCAGCCCACGCGCCCCGCTGCGATCCGCGGCAGCTGGAATTTTCCAGCGCGTTGGCCGCAGATCCACGTCCCGGTGAGCCTGGGCCTGCTGGTGCAACGCGGGTCCTGCGCCCACCACTGGCAGCCAGCCAGCAGCAGGGAGCGAACTCCGCTCCGCGGTCCCTACTCCACAGCGCCATATGGGAGATGCCTCGCTTCTGCAAAAAGGCGATCTGCCAAGCAGGCACATGACCCACCCTGGGCAGGTTACCCCGCAGCAGACCGACGGCTCCCCCCTTTCCGCCCTGCCTGTCCTGCGGGGACAGGCTCTGATTTGGAGGCTGGCGGCAGGCGGTTACAGCCGGGCCACGTTTGCCTCCGGCACGCAGGAGAGCTGCCCTTGCTTTCGGGCACGTGCCAGGCCCATCCGCGTGCGGAGCGAGCCGCAGAACCCGCCCACGGCCGCAGGGCCCTGCTGGGCTCTCTGGGTTTGCACGCACAAAGGTACTTACGCGGCCGCAGTATCCGGGCAGCCTGCTCTCCGGCGTGCCGGGCCCGGGGGGCGCTGTTCTTGTGGTTAGCGGCAGAAGGGGCAATGCAATGTTTGAGGTCCCATGTGTCGGGCATTCCCTGCGTGGCTTCGTTGGTCACTCATCCCCGAGAACGTCCTGGACCTTTGGAGAATCTCGCGGCACCTCCCCGACTTCCTGAGAGCGGCGTTTTCCTCCCGCCGCCCAGATTGACACAGCCCAGCGTGCAAGGCTGTCGTGTTCTAAAGCACACGTGCCAGTCGTGCAACGAAGTCGTGAAATGGGCTACGAACGCCGGACAAGAGAAGGCAGCCGAAGGTTTCACAAGTGCAGGGGCACCAAAGAGGCTCCTCGCCAGGGGCACCGTTTGCTCTAGGGCCAGCCCTGGGCAGGGCTGTCAGCCCCATGGCACAGGTGGGAGCTGACCACAGGGAGGCCACCCACAGCAAACTGACCCATGGCTCACAGGGCGGGAGGGAGAGCAGGGAGCAGACTGACCCATTGCAAAGGGGGAACAGGGAGTGGACTGACCCATGGCTCACAGGAGGGGAGGGGAGGCGGAGCAGACTGACCCATTGCAAAGGGAGAGCAGGGAGTGGACTGACCCATGGCTCACAGGAGGGGAGGCAGAGCAGACTGACCCATTGCAAAGGGGGAGCAGGTAGTGGACTGACCCATGGCTCACAGGAGGGGAGGCGGAGCAGACTGACCCATTGCAAAGGGAGAGCAGGGAGTGGACTGACCCATGGCTCACAGGAGGGGAGGCAGAGCAGACTGACCCATTGCAAAGGGGGAGCAGGAAGTGAACTGACCCATGGCTCACAGGAGGGGAGGGGAGGCGGAGCAGACTGACCCATTGCAAAAGGGGAGCAGGGAGTGGACTGACCCATGGCTCACAGGAGGGGAGGCAGAGCAGACTGACCCATTGCAAAGGGGGAGCAGGAAGTGAACTGACCCATGGCTCACAGGAGGGGAGGCGGAGCAGACTGACCCATTGCAAAAGGGGAGCAGGGAGTGGACTGACCCATGACTCACAGGAGGTGAGGGGAGGCGGAGCAGACTGCAAGAGGGAGGGAGGCGGAGCAGACTGACCCATTGCCAAAAGGGGAGCAGGGAGGGTGGACTGACCCATGGCCACGGGGGGGGGGGGGGGGGGGGGCTCAGGGGGGGGGGGGGGGGGGGGGCGGGGGGGGGGGGGGGGGGGGGGGGGGGGGGCATAAGGGGAGCAGGGAGTGGACTGACCCATGGCTCACAGGAGGGGAGGCAGAGCAGACTGACCCATTGCAAAGGGGGAGCAGGGAGTGGACTGACCCACGACTCACAGGAGGGGAGGGGAGGGGAGGCGGAGCAGACTGACCCATTGCAAAGGGGGAGCAGGGAGTGGACTGACTCATGGCTCACAGGAGGTGAGGGGAGGCGGAGCAGACTGACCCATTGCAAAAGGGGAGCAGGGAGTGGACTGACCCATGGCTCACAGGAGGGGAGGCAGAGCAGACTGACCCATTGCAAAGGGGGAGCAGGGAGTGGACTGACCCATGGCTCACAGGAGGGGAGGCAGAGCAGACTGACCCATTGCAAAGGGGGAGCAGGGAGTGAACTGACCCATGGCTCACAGGAGGGGAGGCGGAGCAGACTGACCCATTGCAAAAGGGGAGCAGGGAGTGGACTGACCCATGGCTCACAGGAGGTGATGGGAGGCGGAGCAGACTGACCCATTGCAAAAGGGGAGCAAGGAGTGGACTGACCCATGGCTCACAAGACGGGAGGGGAGGCGGAGCAGACTGACCCATTGCAAAGGGAGAGCAGGGAGTGGACTGACCCATGGCTCACAGGAGGGGAGGCGGAGCAGACTGACCCATTGCAAAAGGGGAGCAGGGAGTGGACTGACCCATGACTCACAGGAGGTGAGGGGAGGCGGAGCAGACTGACCCATTGCAAAAGGGGAGCAAGGAGTGGACTGACCCATGGCTCACAAGACGGGAGGGGAGGCGGAGCAGACTGACCCATTGCAAAAGGGGAGCAGGGAGTGGACTGACCCATGGCTCACAGGAGGGGAGGCAGAGCAGACTGACCCATTGCAAAGGGGGAGCAGGGAGTGGACTGACCCACGACTCACAGGAGGGGAGGGGAGGGGAGGCGGAGCAGACTGACCCATTGCAAAGGGGGAGCAGGGAGTGGACTGACTCATGGCTCACAGGAGGTGAGGGGAGGCGGAGCAGACTGACCCATTGCAAAAGGGGAGCAGGGAGTGGACTGACCCATGGCTCACAGGAGGGGAGGCAGAGCAGACGACCCATGCAAAGGGGGGGGGGGGGTGGACTGACCCATGGCTCACAGGAGGAGGGGAGGCAGAGCAGACTGACCCATTGCAAAGGGGGAGCAGGGAGTGGACTGACCCATGGCTCACAGGAGGGGAGGCAGAGCAGACTGACCCATTGCAAGGGAGGGGAGCAGGGAGTGAGACTGACCCATGGCTCACAGGAGGGGAGGCGCAGGGGAGCAGACTGACCCATTGCAAAAAGGGGAGGCAGGGAGCTAAGAGGGGAGGGGAGGCGAGACAGGGGGTGGACTGACCCATGGCTCACAGGAGGTGATGGGAGGCGGAGCAGACTGACCCATTGCAAAAGGGGAGCAAGGATTGGACTGACCCATGGCTCACAAGACGGGAGGGGAGGCGGAGCAGACTGACCCATTGCAAAGGGGGAGCAGGGAGTGGACTGACCATGGCTCACTGGGGGAGGGGGAGCAGGGAGCGGACTGACTGACCCATCCCACCTATGGCTCACAGGAGGGGTGGGGGAGCACTAGCAGGGAGTGGACTGATCCATTGCGGAGAGGGAGTAGACTGACCTATGGCTCACACGAGGGGAGGGGGAAACAGGGAGCAGACCAACGCATTGCAGACTGGGAGCAGGGAGTGGACTGATCCATTGAGGGGGGAGCAGGGAGCAGACTGACCCATGGCTCACAGGAGGGGAGGGGGGACAAGGAGCAGACTGACCCATTGCAGAGGGGGAGCAGGGAGTGGTTCAGGGAACGGACTCGCCCATTGCACACAGAGGGCAGGGAGAAAGGGGGGGCGGATTGACCCATTGTTCATGGCGGGCCAGGGGTGCTAGGACAATGTTTATAGTGGGGGTGCTGAGAGCCATTGAACCAAACTGTAAACCCTGGCTATAATGGCAACTACATCAGGTCAGGGGGTGGGGCAGCCCCCAGCACCCCCGGTTCCAGCACCTGTGTGGAGGGGTGAAGGAAGGAGGGGCGCAACCACCCGAATTGCTGGGCTCTTTCTGCTCCCCCCCCGTCCTGTGACAATGGGGAACCCCCTCTCCTCCATAGAGAGGGGTCTGGACTCCCTCTCCCAGTGACCGCACTGGGGCGAGGATGGGGCCGGATGCTGCTGGGGCCGGTCAGCGAGAGCAGCACTGGGGGGTTAGCACCGTTGCAAGGGGCAGACCCCCAGCTCCCTCCTCCTGCTGCACGTCTCAGGGGCTGACGTGGGGGGCCGCCTGCGAACAGCAGAGGTGCTTGTGGGGGTGCTGCCCCCTGCTGGGACTAGCTGGGCGCAACAATGGTGCTGCTGAGACCCCCCCCAAACGGGGCACAGCTGCACGGGAGCCGGCCAGTGCCCTGGAGAGCGGGAGAGCGCCGAGCAGCGTACACCAGCTGCGGCTGGCTCGGGGGAGCAGCGGTGCTGTCTCACCCCTCTCCGAGCACCTGGCTGCACAGAGCAGGCCGCCGGCTCCGCGGGGAAGAGAAATGACCCGTTTCCTAGGGCTCCACGCGCCGGCCGGAGAATCCCTCCCTGGGCCCCTGCCAGGGAGCAGGCTGGGCCCGGCTGATGTCGGCAGGATATCGAAAAAACTGGTCCCTTCCCACCCCAGGGGGGACCCCAGCGCCAAGTGCAAGCGGCGGCTAAAGCAATCAGCAGCGTCGCCAGGAGTCAGGGCCTCCTCCGTGCAGAACGAGCAGCTCGAGGCAGAGTCCAGAAGGCTCTCTGGGTGCGGCTGGCAGCCCCGTTCCCCGGCCTGCCCGGAGCCCCATGCTGGAGAAGGCTTTGGCTCCAGCCTCAGGCATTCTTCTGTCAGGGAGTCATGGGGAAGGGGAGGGAGGGGAGAGGACGTCCTGGCTCTGACTGTTTGAATCCTTAAGAAGAAGCCCACGGAGGACCGGGGCCTGGTGGAGGCTCAGCGCAGGGTCTGTTTGGAGTCACTCCGTGCTCTCTGGGGAGCAGCCAGAGCCCCGGGTTTATCTCCTCCGGGCACAAAGGATGCTCTGAGCTGGAAGAGGCCCAGTGGGGGGCTGGACCATCCAGATGCTGCAGGGGGAAAGGAGGCCACGTGCTTTCAACAGGTGGCCCTCGGCTTCATTGCCTGCCCAGCTGGAACAAAAAGAAGCAGGTGAGTCTGGGGTTACGGCCACCTGCTGTGGGCACTGGGCCTGATCCAGCAAGGTGCCACGACCTCGGCCGTGTGACTACCGAGGGTGTTGGTGGCACTCAGCCCTCGCCGCACATGTGCATTTGGACAGCCGCGTGGAAGGATTTGCACAGTTCCAGAGGAGCGAGTCTTGTTCCTATGGCCGAGACCCGCCGGTGAACTCGCTGCATAAGGAGGATTTGGCACGGTTCCTTTGGAAGAGCGTGCTCACAGCCGCCAGCCCCGAGCCTCCCTGGCTGACACACGCACCGCTTTGTTGAGTTGGTTTGCAATGTAAGAAGAAAGGGAAACGCAATTGTAACAGAGTGGGAATTTTCCGTAATGTTTTGAATGGCATTGCCAGGTAGGGGAAACTGAGGCACAGATATTACAAGATATTACAGCAAATCCCTAATCTGTCACAGTGACTCCCCACTGGGGGCGTTCGCAGGACATTTGGCCCCGGCTGAGATCATGGTGCTAGTGTTATTATTATTCTTTTCTGAATGTCCAAAAGTGTGGATGAAATTTCACCCCAAATATCGGTCAGCGTTTGGAGATGTCAGCCACGCACATTTGTGAATGCTGCTTTCCCCCTGGCTAAGGAGCGGTGGGGTCTACTCTGGGTTCAGCCTTGCTTGGCTGAGTAACCGTCGAGCCAGAATCAAACCAGCACTGTACAGATTGCCACAGGAATTGAGCTGCCAGCCCAGCTCTTGAAGACAATAGATACAGCATTCTTTCCCAACCCCCCGGGGATTTGAACCCGTGACCTCAGAAGCAAGAGCCAGACCTGTCTGCTACCTCTGCTGTGAATCAAAGATAGTGATTTTTCCTGGCTTCAGGCTCCGAGCCGGTGTGATTGTAAGTTGCTGGTCAGGCCCATCAGTGGAAGAGGTGGGGAGAGAATTCAGCAGCTCTTGAATCCCATCTCTGAGCTTCATCTGTCAAGCAGCAGGTCCGGAAGCGTCCTCCCAGTCAGCGCTGTCCCAGAAAGATGCTTTTCCAATTTTTGTTGATAGCCCTCGCTGTGTCGACCTTTCCGTCATCCTGGAATTTCAGGGAAAGTCCAAATCCTGGGGAGTGAAAAACTTTGCAAAAACAGCCAGCAAATAAATACATCATCTCATCGTCACTGTCACATGGATTTTCATTCACAAACGTTCCATGAAAAAACAACGCGGAGTCCTTTGTGGCACCTTAGAGACTAACCAATTTTTTGGGGCATAAGTTGTCGAGAGCTAGAACCCACTTCATCAGATGCATGGAGTGGAATACACAGTAGGGAGGTATAAATACACAGCACATGAAAAGATGGGAGTTGCCTTACCAAGTAGGAGGTCAGTGCTAATGAGCAAATTCAATTAAGGTGGAAGTGGCCTATTCTCAACAGTTGACAAGAAGGGGAGAATACCAAGGGAGGGAAGATCACGTTTGTAGTGCTAATGAGGCCAATGCAATCAAGGTGGCCAATTTCAAACAGTTGACAAGAAGGTGTAAGTATCAGCAGAGGGAAATTAGTTTTTGTAGTGACCCAGCCACTCCCAGTCTTTATTCAGGCCTAATTTGATGGTGACCAGTTTGCAAATTAATTCCAGTTCTGCAGTTTCTTGTTGGAGTCTGTTTTTGAAGTTTTTTTGTTGAAGAATTGCCACTTTTAAGTCTGTTACTGAGTGACCAGGGAGATTGAAGTGTTCTCTGTCTGGTTTTTGAATGTTATAATTCTTGATGTCTGATTTGTGTCCATTTATTCTTTTGCATAGAGACTGTCCAGTTTGGCCAATGTACATGGCAGAGGGGCATTGCTGGCACATGATGGCATATATCACATTGGTAGATGTGCAGGTGAACGAGCCCCTGATGGTGTGGCTGATGTGGTTAGGTCCTATGATGGTGTCCTTGAATAGATATGCGGACAGAGTTGGCAACGGGGTATTCACTCTCCCTTGATATTCACCCCTTCTTGTCAACTGTTGAGAACAGGCCACTTCCACCTTAATTGAATTGACTCGTTAGCACTGACCCCCCACTTGGTAAGGCAACTCCCATCTTTTCATGTGCTGTGTATTTATACTTCCCTACTGTGCATTCCACTCCATGCATCTGATGAAGTGGGTTCTAGCCCATAAAAGCTTATGCCCAAATACATCTGTTAGTCTCTAAGATGCCACAAGGACTGCTCATTGTTTTTGCTGATACAGACTATTACGGGGCCGAACGCAGAGAGAGACTGGGTAAGCTTCAGCCGAGCAGCCCCTTTACAGGCCCAGCTGCGGCCGTTTCCCCAATCAGCCCAGCTTCTCTTGCCCTCAGCCCTGGCTCTCTCCCTGGGCTGGCTTTTAAGCCCCACAGGGCAGGAGCGGGTAACCACCCCGCTACACAGACTAACACGGCTTCCACTCTGAAACGTTCCGTGGCTTCACCCAGAGCTGAACTGGGGGCAAAGCCCATGAATGATACTGGGAATGACAGGCCAACTGCTCACCTCCTGACATGGGTCTATTCAGGTTTAAAAGCTAGCTGCAGGTGGAGATCGGAAACCCTCAACCTCTGCCTCTGAGGGGGTCTGTGGCCATGGAACTGGTCTAAGGCCCAGGAGACCAGCATCCAGTTCCTTCTTCTCTGAACTTAGCCTCCTGGCTCCCGTGGGGGCTGTTAGGAGTTACGTGGGAGGCAGCATGGCCTAGGGGATAGAGCACCGGCCTGGGTTCTGTTCCTGACTCTGCTGCTGGGTGAACTTGGGCAAGCCATTTCGCCTCCCTGTGCCTCAGTTTCCCCATCTGTACAATGGGGATAACAATAGTGTCCTCCTTTGTAAAGGGCTTTGAGATCTCCTGATGAGAGGAGCAAGGTGGTGTTATAGCTATGGACAGATGGGGAAACTGAGGCACAGAGCGGGGACTTGACCTGGCCAGAGTCATCCAGCAGGCCCGTGGCAGAGCCAGCAAACCCATCCATCCTGTGCTTTGCTCACAGCTGCTCCTAACGGAGATCTGAGTAAACAAGGGGCTCTGATTAAAACCACATTTCTGCAGACAGTGATGTAACTTTTGGCCTCACAGTCACTTGAAATACCAGCTTCTGCGTTTCCTTGGTCATCACCGGTTTGAGCCAGGGGGCGGGGCAGGGAGGAAAGGGGAGAGTTCAAGTGACAGCCTTCACCTAGGGGTCAGCTGTCATGGGACTTGGCCCTGAACTTGGCTTCAGACGCGTGTGCGTTCCGAGGCACACCACGGATGTGTCCATGCTGCAATCAGAAGGGGTGATGGCAGCTTACGTAGACACACCTGAGCTAGCTTTAACCTAAACCTGAGCGCCTCCTGCTGCTGGGTTTGAGGATTGGCAGGTTCCTGGCCTGAGAACGACTCCGCGTGACGGTCCCAAGAGGCAGGGGAGAAGTGGGAAACAAGCCGGGTTCAAGGGGTGGCAGGTGGGCACTGTCACAGAGTCCCTGGGCGATGCTCTGGAACTGCTCCCCATGAAGTCAGTCAGGACTCTGGGGTAGTCGCCTTTCTGGGAGCAGCCTGTCTTCAGGACACACAGCTCACACAGCTTCCACCTTCCTGGGTCTGACCTCGGAGCATTCAGCATCCTCTGCCCCTCCGTGCGCTTTCCCCCAGCGAGTCCGCTCAGGCGGGGCTCCTGGGGAAGCCAGAGGGTCCTGCACCCCAACTTCGCAGTCAGACGTGACTCTCAGCCAGCCAGTAAAACAGAAGGTTTATTAGACGACAGGAACATGGTCTAAAACAGAGCTTGCAGGTGCAGAGAACGGGACCCCTCAGCTGGGTCCATTCTGGGGGGCAGTGAGCCAGACAACCACGTCTGCACTTCACTCCATGTCCCAGCCAGCCCCAAACTGAAAACCCCCTCCAGCCCCTCCTCCTCTGGGCTTTGTTCCTTTCCCCGGGCCAGGTGGTCACCTGATTCCTTTGTTCTCCAACCCTTTAGCTCTCACCTTGCAGGGGGGAAGGGCCCAGGCCATCAGTTGCCAGGAAACAGGGTGTTGGCCATTCTCTGTGTCCAGACCCCTGCACACACCTGCCCTCTAGGGCTCTGCAATGATCATACACCCTTACCCCACCCCCTAGATACTTAAGAACTGCATAGGGGAAACGGAGGCACCCCCACAATATTCAGAGGAAACATTAAGAACAGGCCCACTTCGTCACATCTCTCCCCCCTTCGAGATCGAACTGAGCGGGGTCACTTTACCCGGTGACCTGGGGAAGTTTGAAGCCACCAATGTTCCCATGGATGCCCCAGCATCTCTCCCATTCCTTGGTAGGAGTTACACCAGGCCCTTCCAGTTTCATGCCCTCCCTTAGGTCGGGGGTGGTCAACAGCACTAGCAGGCTGCATGTGGGAAGGTTTCTGCAGCCCATGCCCTTTGGCCACCCCAAAACCCCAGGGGGTCAAACTGGGATTGGGTTTTCTCCCAGAGCTCCAGTCTGGAGGGCTGCAATTCGGGCTCTCTTGGTTAAGGGCCCCCATCTTGACCTGGGCCACATACTGTTCACTTACAGAACTAGCATGGAGACATCCCTTTCCCAACAACCTTGTCTCCCCAACAAGCTGGCCAAACACAGCCACTTGGTTATAGGACGGTATACCTTTCTTAACAGCTTTCACTCCATCTGAGACCTTCTCAAAGCTCTCCACACTGGATCTTTCAACAGGAAAGTCAGTGGATCCATTCACAACAGAAAATTTCTGGCTGTTAGGAACTGAAACTTTCTTGATTAAATCATTTTCACACCCTTCAGTTGCAGTAAACTGCCAGTAAAGTGAGCTGTAGCTCACGAAAGCTCATGCTCAAATAAATTGGTTAGTCTCTAAGGTGCCACAAGTACTCCTTTTCTTTTTTAGTAAACTGCTTGCAAAGACTCCATGAGGATTCCTTTCCCAAGGGCTTTTCTATGCAACAATTCACCCCTCCCAGAAATTCTGCTCTTACCCTCTTTACCTAGGGCTTGCTCTAGGGGAACGCTTTCCTGAGCAACTACAGACTCTTTCTGGGTCTCCCTTACATCCAGAATCACCTCTGGCCTATCAGGCGGATTCCTACACAATCCCCTTTCAGGCAAACTTACAGACTTCCTAGATAAAAGGTTAGAAGCATTCTCCTTCCCTTTGCCACACACAAGTTCAGGAATCTTTTCCTTCTTGCTACAGGTTTCCAC